TCCTCTGGGGGTTCAAGACCCTCTGGCTCCTTCCCATCATCCTCACCTGAGAAAGACRGATCGCCCCTTTTTCCCGCTCTGAAGTCCTTTCTGAAGCCAATGAAGAGAATGTGCCCRGCAAACTGGAATGCACTTTTTCTTTTTTTGGTATTTCTGCAAGATTGCTGTATGCCTGTTGATAACACAGGTACCCAGAAAGCATGTGGAAATAATAACYGATATCCTCCTTTGACTGTGCAAAATAAATAGGCAGTAACTTCCCATTGGCAAGGTGACTGTGCAGAATCCGTAGGGAGCAACCTATTGGCAAGATCCCCCTGGGCTTGGAGCGGCAGTAGCTGCCACTGATACCCGGAGTGTTTCGCTGCTGCCGCCTTGTTTAGCTACAGGAATCGGTGTCACACAGTGCCACGTATCACTGCACCGTGAGCAGAGCAGAGCAAAGCAAATGGGGAGGCTTCCAAGGGTGGCCTGGTCTCCTTGCTTGGACCACACTTCAAGCTCTTCTTAGGTGCATAGATATTACAGAAAAAATTGTTGAGTCCATTCATAGGTTTGTATCTGATTTATGTGAYGTCTACACAGAGTATGTTTTAGGTGAATTCAGGATAGTCATTTGAGATGAAATGTAGTGTGGAAGCGATTCTATTTAGGTTTGGGGAAATATTTGCATGAACCTCTTCAAAAAATAAAATACCCATTTTGAGTTGTCTTGAATTATTAAACAAGAATTTAAAATKTTTGGAAAAAATATGATGTCGAATGACTGAAAATCATTCTGGGACTTTGCCTTCTAATCACAAACTATGACGTGCCTGGTAGAGTACTGGGAGGGCCTAGGCACGTGCTAGGTACTGCCATAGAGAAACGATCCCTRTTCCACATTTATACTCTTATTAGTCAAAAGATGCAACAGTGGGAAGGGACCCCGACGGCGGGAGGACGCGGGGGGTGCGGCGTCCTGCTCGCCCGCCTGCGGTGGCCGCGCACTGCCAAGGTGGGGATGGAAGCGGAGCTGTAGCGTGGTAGCCCACCCGCTGAAACTGTGCGGCCTCCTCTGGGAGATCAGACACACTACAGACCGCTAAAGAGTGGTCAGGCACAGTGCAGGGGCCTTGGAGATGGAAAAAGAAATGCAAGGAATTGGCCACATACAGACTTTACAGAAAATACTTGAAAGGAGTGTGGAGCTAACTGCACAACAGCCTGATCCATGATTTCTCTGCGTCCGTTGGCCTGCACTTGCTGCCCTCCTGTCGCTGCTTAGGAATACAGGGCAGTGTGGTCTTTACAACTGGCGTTCCCAGGACCTGCCCGAGCTGCCGAGGGCGAGTGTGAAGCGCTGCCGGCCGGGTGTCAGCTCGCGWGGGCTTTCTGTAGGTGGCTCGCTCGCCAGCAGAAGGCTGAGAGGAGGCCCAGCGAGGCCAACAGCAGGGCAGCAGCGTGGGCTTTGCTGGAGGCCCTGGTGTCWGTTCTGCTGGCCAAAAGTGCCCCGTTGGGGCCTGTCATGACGTTAACGGCATMTTTTACTGCACGCTGGAGTGGATTAGTAAATTAGTGAATAATTAGTTCAAATATATTGAACATAATTGTATTTATTCACGTAATAGAAATGGCSTGGGTATAAAGCTAAGTCTAAGCTAATTTATGCCAAGTGGCAAAGTAGACAAGTACTTAGAGATTTAGAAATGCAGATTTTGGCTCAGATCTCTTTCTCAGAATAATAATCTTCTCGGGCTTTCTTTTTGAGAGATCTCCATGCTGTGGTTTTTGCTACTTCTGTGGCGTAGCTTGGGCACTTGGCAAGGTACCAGTGCCCTTCAAYGGTTGGAGGCCCCCTTTAACCAGGCCTAAGTAAAGGGAAGCTGCTGGCTATTATAATGTGTTGGTTTGGGTCAGAATAGTTTAAAGGGAGAAACAAAAGATGAAAAACAGAGAGCTCCAAAGCCTTCTTCCCTTGTAGCGAGGTATAAGAGCCTGATGACAGTGAGATATTCTGTGTCCATTAAAATGTAATACCGCTTCTCATACGGAAATGATTAACCCCTGTTCTGCTGAACCCTTGTAAAAGTAGGAGAAATTTAGGAGGCCTTAGAAGGAAAAATGTGCTGCGCAGCTGGGCGTTTTATTGGTCACCAGGGCCCTCAGTTTGCAGATCACATCATGGCCCAGTCCCGATGTTCAGGCACGTACAGGGTAAGGCCGGGCAGGGCCGCAGCCGCGAGCCGGGGGGATCGCGGAGCTGCCCGGCCCTGCGGCCGCCCGGCCCGAGCCCCTGCGCCCCCTCGGCCCCTCGGCCGGGCCTGGCTGCTGGGCTGCAGCCACCTGCCACACTGGCATCCCGCTGGGTCCATCACACATTTAAAATGTTTTAATTTTRCAAGAAACATCCGTCAAAATCGTGTGTTGAGTAAGGGAATATCTGAGAGCCGAGAAGGAAAAGCTATCTGCTTTGTTTCAGCCACATCTCCTTTAGTTTGTCCAGAATGAACCTGTCACGGCCAGGAGCTGCTTTCTGTGTGGATGCAGCCTGTCTGCAAGCCCACTCCTTGTTGGATTTTGTAGACGGGAATTTCTRAAACACTGAGGAAGGTGAAGGATTCAAGTCATGAGTTTAACTGTTCATCTAAGGGACTTAACTGCTCCCTCCCAGACCTACTGGACTGTTGCCAGACTGAAAAACCTTTGAATTTGAAACATGAGTATTTGTGAACTTTTCAAAAGTGAAGGTGGGAAAAATCTCAAATCATGATCTGAGCCATCCTGTAGTATGTCTAGATTTCCCATCATGTTAAATTTACTTTTATAACAGAGGTTCCAGTATTTTTCTTGGGATATACAGACTATTTCATCTTGTTCTTAGGAACTTGCTTTGGATGCTAAGCTGCATTATCGTCTTGTTATTTTACCTTCCCAGATTTCAGTGATATATTCTCATAGACAAAGCTAAAAAATCTGTCTTTTTTAGAACAAACTTTGTATAACCCAACTGTGTGGAAACTTTGGAAGCAGCAGAAGGTGCTTCTACTTTCGCCTTGAGAAAGAAAGGTGTTTGATAATGCTTTATAAATGTTTCRTTTGAAAAGAAATGTTGACAGGTGAATTCTGTGTCTATTTTGCCTGGACTCCCAAGGATGTCTGCTCTTCTGCCTAGCTCAAACTCCCTGGAAGGGTCTGTACTCTATTGGGAATCACATTGTGCRTCCACAAGTCAAAATCAAAGATGCAGAAAAAAGGAATATGACAATGGCAGACAGGGAAAAGCTACCRTCATAAGAAATGCAGGAGTATTTACTTAATGCAGGAGTACTAGAAGTCCTCAAAGGACTTGGGAATGTTTTCCCAGGAATGCTATAAAAGCAGGATTTTCCWTATCAAATCTTTCCACTGCTTTTGCTTGACTTCAAAGAACTGACCTGGTCCTTGGGAAGGTATGAAACAGAGCAGCACTGGGAGAGGTGGGCATCGAGGGATCAGCACAGCATCAGATTCTTTTCCTTTAATTATTTTTTGGAGCTCCCTTAGGACGTGCTTGCAGATGATCAGCTTTTTTTCATATATAGATCTATTTATAGATTGTGGCAAAACTTAATAAATAAGGGACCCTCCACTGTGCCCAGTAGGGCAGCAGGGACTATGAACCTTGCAATGAAAGGGCAGGATCTCCACTTTCTTTCTGAAACCAGTGCCACTTTTGTTCTGAAAATCTGCTGGAATGTGTGGAGAGTCTGTAAAAGCCATTCATTGTTCCTGCTGTTGTTCTTGCTTTTCTATTATTATTATCACCCCCGCCGCAAAGTCATGGCTTGAAAAACAAATCCAGGTCATTCGGCTTCATGCATAATTCCCAACCATTATAATAAATCTTGGTACTTACGATATATGTGAGGCAGAAGGGGACTCCAGATCATTATTTTGGGGGAAGTGGTAACAATTTAAATGCTGACTTAAATGCTTTTGTTTTGTTGTTAATACTGTAAAATATGTTCAGGTTGGCCATGTACAGCCATACCAAAGTACTACTTTTTGCAGTCACTTTTCTACTTGTACTGAAGAATGGTGGACTTTGTTGAAACGTGGGATCTGTATTTATCAAAACCTAAGACCTGAATGCAAGCTAGCACTGCTGCATCCTGTGCAGAGCAAAGCTGTGGTGCAACCTCCATTTATAACTGCACGCAGACTGCCCATTTGGGTGCTCTCTGATTTATCAGCCTCCGGGAAAGAAAACTCTGTAATCTCTGAACTCTGAGAAATGATGTTCGTTCGGGAAAATGCCTTATTACCRCTGCAGGTATCTTCTCCAGAAAGAGCTGGGACTGAAATAGGAAAGGATGGCACAGGGTTCTGGGGAAATATCTTGGCAGAACCTGAGCAGAGCGTGGGTGACACGTGACAGACTGTGAGGACAGCTTCCACCGCACCAGGCAGGAGTGTCTTTTGCTGTATCATCCCTAGATAATCCYTAAATCTAGTTGTAGTTGTCTAGTAGATCCCTAGTTGTGATCCCTAGATCACAACTTCTTCTAGGGATTTTTTTTTGGAGACGGCCAAGCACTGGCTGTTTGCCACTGGGTAAACCATAGAGCCTCTCTTGTGCAATAAATGTTACGTAGRCCCCTTTTATAGGGGGCCTTTACCATAAGCCCATGTGCTTTTGTAATAACAGTGAAAGTGCAGGCGGGCACATGGAGGTGGTGTGAAGAAGTGGTGCCCTGCCTCAGCGTTCATTTCTTCTTTCCACTCAATTGTCCTCAAAAGTAGAGGATGTAGAGGATATGGGARCAAAAAAGAATAAAAGAGAACAAGGAGGAGAGTGCATAAAACACGCAAATGCTAAAGTCTTGCTCTTTTTTTCTCATTTTAGTGAAAGCTTAGAAGCATCTCATCTTTTTCAAGCATGCAAAGTATTGTACCAACTTTTTTTTTCTTTGAGGGAAAAGAACTAGATAACTTCAGAATAATTGGCTGAAATTTCTCTTATTTCTTTTCTTTTTAAGACAATTCCTCATCTCTCCAGGAAGATGAAGAGGTAGAAATGGAGGCTGTCAATTGGCAGCTGAACAACACCTCCATGAATGGGCATTCTGCTACGCCAACCACAGCTCGCTTTCCCAGTTGGGTGACTTTTGATGACAACGAGGTCAGTTTTTCACCACAGAACCTTTCTCCCTTGAAAACAGACACGCCACCTGCAGCAAAACAGAATCCAGATGTCAACTTTAACCTCACTGCATCCTTTAAGAAAAGAGAACGTCCTAAAAGCACCTTGGGTGACCTCTCCAAAATTCAAAAGCTAGATCTTTCCTCCTTAACCAAGTTGCCTTCTGTTGAAACACCACCATGGAGTGCTACTAATCCTTTCTTGGATGAATCTCTGCGAGATGTCCAACCCTCACCCATCAATCCATTCAGCTCATTCTTTGAGGAGCGAGACAGACGAGACAGGCGTTCCCAAAGCTCTTCTGTCTGTAGTGCTCCGGGCAAAAGCCAAAGAGACTCTCTTATTGTTCTACACCAAGAAGCTGATACCATCAGCTTCCTTGAATCAAATAAAAGTGTAGTCCACACGGATGCCGTAGAGCAGCTCAAGCAACTCCAGATTGGAGACCCAGACCGTGTGAGCAGCCCTGCCTTGCCTGATGATGATCCCACACATGATCTGGATGTCAATTTATTTAACCTGGCACCAGCTCAACCAAAGGATGGATGGCCAATGATGCTCAGGATCCCAGAAAAGAAGAATATTATGTCATCCAGGCACTGGGGACCAATATATGTCAAGTTGACTGACAGTGGATGCATACAGCTTTTTTATGAAAAAGGGCTGGAGAAGCCTTTCCGGGAATTCAAACTGGAAATCAATCATGAGATTTCTGAGCGCAAACTCCAGAACTACGATGAGAATGGAAGGATACACAGTGTGCGGATAGACCGCACCACTTACAAGGAGAAAAAGAAGTATCAGCCTAAACCAGCTATTGCTCACACAGCAGAGAGAGAGCAAGTCATCAAGCTGGGGACTACAGACTATGAAGACTTCCTTAGCTTCATCAGCGCTGTGCAGGACACACTGATGAACTTACCCACCTCATCGACAGATCTGAGCACAGTAGGACTGAACTACCAAGAAGAAGAAATCACTGTTGATGTCAGGGATGAGTTTCATGGCATCTTGGCCAAAGGAGACAATGTGATTCTCCAGCACAGTGTGCTGACCCATATCTATGTTCTCAGCTTCCTTTCTGGCCTGGCAGAGTGCAGACTGGGCCTTAATGACATCCTGATGAAAGGGAATGAAATAGTTGCAAGGCAGGACATAATGCCCACTACTACCACTAAGTGGATTAAATTATACAGTTGTCGGTTCCATTCATGTGTGGATGAGGATGTGTTTAATAATTCCCGCATTATCCTGTTCAACCCTTTGGATGCCTGCCGATTCGAACTGATGCGATTCAGGACTGTCTTTGCTGAGAAAACGTTGCCTTTTACTCTGAGGACAGCAGCCAGCATCAATGGTGCTGAGGTGGAGCTGCAGAGCTGGCTGATGATGTCCACTGGGTTCTCTTCAAACCGTGACCCTCTAACTCAGGTCCCTTGTGAAAATGTGATGATCCGCTACCCTGTGCCAACCGAGTGGGTGAAGAACTTCCGCAGGGAGAGCGTCCTGGGGGAGAAATCCTTGAAAGCCAAGGTGAACAAGGGCGCCACTTTTGGATCAACCAGCGTGTCTGGTTCAGAGCCAGTAATGAGAGTAACTTTGGGAACTGCCAAATATGAACATGCCTTTAATTCCATCGTATGGAGGATAAACCGACTGCCTGATAAAAATTCAGGTGAGTGGTACATAGCAGCTCCGAGTGAGCAAGCTAACAGTAAGTATCTATTTGGGGAGATGGGGAATGCTAGAGATAAATTGTCATTTGTAGCACACCCAAGTATACCACTTGTACCAAGTACACACACTCTACACACACCACTGGTGTAGTACACCAGTTAGTTACATGGAGCAGTTAGCTGACCCTTCACTGCAGTAGTTTTATGTATCCTTCAAGCATTGCTGGTGATAGAAGACAGTTGAGGTGTAGCAGATGCACAATTATGCCTCCTATCTCTTTTTATGAGTACATTATGGGATTTCTGTATCAAATGCCTCACAATGCACTGTCATGAGAAGCGGAGGTAAGTTATAAATTTAAGATACTATGATGTGGGACCGAACTAACAGGGCCACATGAATTGCTGTAGCTCTAGCACATATGATCTTTTTCCAAGTATAGTTGGCCAGTGCTGTATATTTCAGCCATATGCAGCTGATGCCTGTAAGGTACCTGGAATGAGAGTTGTAAGAGGATGTGAGACACTGTGTAACCACTACAAATAAGCAAGCAAACAGAAAAACAAACAGCTTTCCCAACAGCAGCATGTGACTGTGCTTCTTCAATCAGTGCAGGCAGGTTCTATATATAGCTTAACTCCCGAGAGAAAATACCAACATAACACCCACAATTTTGTGTTTCTCGTGACATGGTAGTGATCAAATGTTCAAATCATACAAGCAAGCTATTGTTCCCTTTGGTCATCCTTGCCATTTTTTTTCGCTTCCTGCCTTTCATTTGCTGTCAGCAGTAAAGCTAGACCAGACAGGTTTATTTTTTTCATAGTAAATTCAATTTTCTGATTTCTCTAATCTAAACTAGTCTTTTGAAAACTAAATGTAGTTTATTTGCTTGTTTGTTTGTTAAATAATGCTGCAGTAATGCAGCTGTCTAACTGAGTGGGTTGCATAGTTAGGATTCCCTGAAAGAAAATTCGTCATTGTACCAGATTTATTTTTCCTGAGATTAAGCAACAGTGTCAGCAAATCATTGATACAAGTCTTTTAAGCTTTTGGGTGATATTTCAACCCAGTGATGCCAGGTTACACCATCCAAATTTGGAGGGATATCACTGTCAAAAATGAAGGCTCCATGTTTTCTGTGCAGGATATAGGATGAGAGTTTTGGAGCTCAAGAGGAGTACTGCAGTGAAAAATACTCTCAGGCTGTGTAAGAGCAGTAATCTGCTTGTGAGGAAAATCTCACGGTGCCATSTGCACAAGCTCTATAAATGAGACGCTGTGAAATTGGGCCTTCTGTGGCATCTACTCTCCAAAGATCTCTGGATAACGTATAGACTTTTACAGCTGGGAAAACTTGAACAGACTGTCACACAATTACAGACCATGCCAGTAGCACAGCAGGAAAAGCAGCAGAGCTCCTGGCTCTGTTGCCTGCTACACGTTGCTGTTCCCTTGCCCACTGCTGCTTTGAGGGAGATGCTTTGAGGGAGATTGTTTCCTTGGTCTTGCCTCTCCCAGTCAAGGCCTTATCTAGCCTATAGGTGAGGAAATGAGTCACAGACTTGGCGCTGCTCTTGGAGCCCTGTCGCAGAGCATCTGGCCATCGGTGTCACCATGTGACGCTCAGGGCAGTTAATATCTGTTTACATCCTGAGAGGAAGCGACGCTCCTCACCCCGCCACGAGGTCGGGGTGGTTTCAGGGGAGGAGAGGCCGTGTGAGCGCTGGCTTGGCCAGGGCACACATGAGGCATGTGAGGGGGAGGGAATCCCACAGTAGTGCTGGGTACAGRCCAAACGTAGTTTAAATCTGACCTTGCCTTTCAAAGATTCTATGTGTCTTGATGGTACTTGTCCCATCTTGGAGTTTTCCTTACTYCGAGTATGTGGCAAACAACAAATCAGACAGGGAAGGCTATGGATGGAGTCACTCAGATGTACTGATTTGCTAGGGGGAGCTAAGGGTGTTTAGTCTGACTCCTTAGGCCRGCCTGGCACACACTTCTGGCCACATGCCAGAGGTGTGTGGGCTGYTCGACTCTGTATCTGCACTTTGCTCGACTCTGTATCCAGCCCTAACCCTGTTGATAGGGTAGCTCATCCACCCCTATTTACAGAAGTCTCTGTGAAGGAGACGGGTCCCAAGCACTAAGAATAAGAATTACTATTCAGGCTGCCACTCGGTGCCTGCTCACTGGGCACCTGCCTCTCACCTCTGAYGGCTCTTGGGCTCCCTCTGGGGACGTGTGATGTGCAAAGAGCCCATGCGTCCCCAAGGGCCGGGGCACCTGGGTCCCTGGGTGCCTTGCGTTGCGTCGCTTCACGCGCCTCCCGTCCCCTCAGCGTGGGCGAGCGCAGGCCCTGCRTGGCCGTGAGGTGCCCAGAGCGTCTCCCTGCCTGGCGTCCCGCTCCCCGGCCTGCCCGAGGGCTCGCGCGGAGACCGCAGCGCCCCGGCCCTAAMCAGCAGCGAGTTATTTCTGTTCCTCCACTGCCTGACCCAGCGCCTTCTCTTTGTGCTTTCTAAGGGCTTGGCGCCCCTGGTTCTCTCACCCTGGGTTCTTGTATCTCTGCCCTCTCTGTTATCTTGTAGCCAAGGCATCTGCTTAGGACTAGACCTTTGAAAGCATGGGACGACACAGAACTGTGCGTGCTCTGCCTGCGCGCTGACTGGAGAAACAGCTCTGGGCTGGATGTCACCAAGTACATCGCTAAAATCCCTTTCCAAAACAGCTTGGTAAACTTTATTGCCCTTCTCCTATTCACAGTGAATATTATCACAGCAGTTGATAAAGAAGGCTTATTTACAGGCTCTGTAGAGCTTCAGTTGCAACTGGCTGGGCTCCACATGTGTTTTTTAATCCACCATCAGTATATTATGAAAACATCCACACACAGGCCTCGGTCGTGGGAAAGAGCTCTTCCAATAAAATGGGGATGTAGCYTCTAGGCAGAACCCTGGATCTGGACTTCTGACCTTTGGCTGTGGATCCCAGGCATGCTGCCCGGTATTCTTTCTGCAGCAGAGTAAATTAAATCCTCAAATACAGCATTCATATTTAAGGCATCAGAGCAGCCTACAACTGCTTGCCTCCAATCATGGTAGCCCAAGCATGTATATGAATTATATTATCAGCTTCATTATTGATAGGGTGAAATGTTAGTGCTCAAAGAAGCAAGACGCGCAAAAGAAAATCAGTCTGTTGATTTCCTCTTGTTTTTACTACAAAAGTGTATCTATCCATTTTTTTWATCCAGTGTGTCTATTTTTTTAGAGAAAAAGCTCTGAATGAGCCCGATAACTAAACGGGAAGCATATGGAAGCTGTGCGTTGTGTGCCTCGCACGCATGGCGCGAATGGACGTGGAAACGCTCAGTATTTCTGTTACAGATTCRGTGCAAGAGCAGCTTTCATAATCAGGTCACTTGATTGCCTTCTGTGCTTATCCGGTTTAAATGAACAACTTCAGAATGTTTTGGAGTGTTTTGTCTGGTCGTTTCTGTCAGTGGGTACTACTACTAGAGGAAATTAAATTACTGGATAATTGTGTAGTTGAATTGAAAAAATAAATTCAGACATCCCTTGATATTGAAGTTAAATCAGCAGAGCAAAGATAACTGACTGTTTAATGAGATCTGGTTATTTATGATATTAAATTACAGTTGGTTTACAAAAATTAGCTAAAAATCTTTATAGCAGAGACTATGTCTGTGTCAGACTACATGCATGATATTGGGTAATCAGCAAACGTGAAATCAAATCTATGCAGCATCGTGTGCATCTGCTGTGTGGCTTAATCACCTCTGCCTCCAGCCCTTGGTGCYGAACTTTGTTGCTCAGTCTTTTTCTTAAGACCTTCCTCCCAAATGGCTTTCCAGCAGTGCAGGGAGGACAGGGAGAATGGATAGCCTGTTACCAAGGGGTCCTCACATTTTGCACCTCTGGGTCCTGCTTCCAGCTCTGTTGAGTGTTAACTGCGGGTGTAGGTGCCATGTAGGGACTGCCCAGCTGTAGCAATTCCCTTGGCCAAGTTTCGGTCCAGATGCTTTGGCCATCTCAGGGAACGAAGTTGGTGAAAGGAATTAAGGATTATTTCCTAGCTTCACACAGGTTTCCTCTTATGTAGCAAATTTATGTAAACTTACACAGTATAGTTTCTTTTACTAAAATGTGACAATTTCAAGTAAAGGCAAAATACCTGCTTCATCTCACCTTTACTTATGATGAACACATGACATTTCAGAAGGATGTGTCACACCGGACTTACATTACATAAACGTGGGGGAGAAGAACAGGGGAAATTCCTCTACGCTCTGATGCTTTATTTACATCATGTGCTTTCATCCCTTGAAACCAAATTAGCRTGACTGACAGTCACAGGTTATTTTGTTAATTGATCTGGAAACTCCAGTGACATTGAAACAGGTAAAATGCTGTAAACTGCTATGAATTATTTCACCCAGGCAGTTTTGGGAGGCTGCTTCCTAGGCGTTGCCATTCCTGATCCTTTCCATACGACTTTCATGGCTGCTTGCTCTCTGTTTCCAGCATCTGGCCATCCCCACTGCTTCTTCTGTCACCTGGAGCTYGGCTCTGACCGGGAAGTGCCTTCCAGTTTTGTCCGCCACGTGGAGGTGGAATTTGACATGCCCACCACATCTGCRTCCAAAGCCACCGTTCGGTCCATCTCTGTGGAGGACAAGACCGATGTGAGAAAGTGGGTCAACTACTCAGCACACTACACTTACAAGGTAAAACGAGCCTCTGGGCTCACCGTGGTTACTTTGCATCGTTCATTTTCTTGAAGACTGGACAGAAAAGCACAATAACAGGAGCAGATGAGGTACGAATTTGCTGCATGCCAGGCTCTGTGCAAGTAGCTGCTCATGTGCAACTTGCTGACTCGTGACAAATAGGCCRTGGATTGTCCCTTAGTAAAGCTGGGATAAACTGGCTCACAKTTTGGAGGGAGTGCATACATACAAAAAGGGCCCAGGGAGGAGCTGATAACCTGTGAGGGTGAACAGGGAGTTTTGCTGGTCCTGATAGTAGCTACAATAGGAGTGCTACTGCAGACCAGAGGATTGACTGTTTCTGTGCTTAGATATTTCTTTTTTGCCTGTCCYAGGGAGAGGAGCAGATGGGAAAAAGCACTTATGTAATAGCTGCCAAGAATCTCAGTATGCCAAAATTTGCTTGTTAGCAGACCACTCAGGGGAAAAACTGGCTTCCTACCTGTCTTCTTTAAGAGCAATGATGAGACCTACTGAAAAGATTCCCATGGAAATTATTTTAATWGTAATTGCAATTATATTTTTAGTACCTCTTAAATTCCCTGGAAACAATATTTGGTCTTCCTAAATATCTCTCTTAAGAATTAAATGCTAGATTATTTCTGAATTTTTGGAAGTGTTGAAATTTTGAACACAAATGTAGATAAGCATTTTGTAAATGAATCTCTCTGCTTTATGCCAGTCCTTGCAGAGATTAATACTGAGGCATCTGTTGCCCTTTAGGAGGTCACCTAATCTTCTGTAAGGTTGGTTCTGATTTGGGTTTGGACTAGGTTGGATTCAGCTGAGGATGGTAATGAATACAAACTCATGTGAGCCCCACTGTCTTCATGATATTGTCTTCTTGACATTGTTCAATCATTAACCTGTTTGAACTGAAAAATCTTACAGTAACCAAATCCAGTCCTCCTTCCTTGAGTTCTCTCTRCAAGGTTTTTGCTTTACCAAGAGTTTCTTTGTCTAAGCAGGACACAAACTGGCACTAAGGAAGACATTTGATTCCTTTTTTCCTCCATTCTTATTACAGATGTTCTCCTCTTTTTTTTTTTTTCTTTTTTTTTCCTCCTGACAGGTAGAAATAGAGCAGAAAAAAAAGTTGAATGAAGATCTGAAGGGAGAAGATACTGAAAATGTCAATGATTGTGCCACACAGTGAAAGCAGATAARTCTGCAAGTCCTGAGAAGAGCCACAGAGAAGGAATTAACAGCCCCAGAAGAAGAAATTGCAGCATTTTGGTATTGTTCTTAAAAAAGTATGGATTGTTGCTTTCAGAATGATGTTCCACAGAGTGTTGAGTATTTTTGCTCATGATGATCCATACTTTGAGAAGAAGCTCACCAGGGATTTGTTTGAAGTGGACCCCTGGGGTTTTGCTGGAATGACTTAAGTACAGTTGGTTCATAGACAAACTGACTTGGCTAGCAGCCAAGCTTGCCTTGGTTGCCTCGTCGTCGTCTGGTGATGTCTAAGGATGGCGTGGCCACCACCACAGCCCAACCAGAGAGCAGCCTTCATCTCTCTTGCAACTTGCCCTCTCTGCTAAGCCTGTGCCAAGCTGGTTTGGTCATCGGCAGGCTCATTTCCTTCTGAACTGCCTAATAAAACCCAGGGAGCAAYGAGTAAAAGAGTGATAGAGTGTCTCATTGCAGGAGATGTCAGCAGAGTGAAAATCCCGAACATTATTCCGGAGAATCAGGGAATTCTGCATCTTAAGCAGAGTAGGCATCAAGCTGATGGAGCTGCTCTTCTGTTCACCTTGTCCTCTCACCTGTAGCATGTCACAGTGCACATTTTCGTTTGGGGCCTGGACAAGCTACATTTCCAGTTCTTAAAATCTTCATTTTTTCTTTTTTTTTTTTAAGTCTGGGCTTTTCTGTTATCTTGACTGAACATGGTTATAGCTGCTAGGAACACAGGATTTGATGTAATAATTTGATATATAGAAGGGACATTAGTAAAAAGATACTTAAGGAAAACACATACTTTTTTTTAATGTTTTCTTGGACTTGGATAATGGGTAATGTGGAAGATGACTGATGAAAAATAACAGTACGTGTACGGTCTGTCCTTGCAACATACTTTCATGTTCTATTTTGAACCTACAATACAAGAAATTTCTGTATAATTATCTTTATAAAACACCCTAACTTCACCTGCACTCAACTTTTTCTGTTTTTTTTCTTTTTTCAGCACTAGAATTTTAGGCTTTCATTGGGGTGATTTTTTATCTCCACTTAGCCAAAAGCAACAGCAGGTCTTAAATCTTCCTTAAAAAACTACAAAAGAAAAAAAAAACATTCATGTATACTATAATACAGACAAAACAGTGATGAAAATACCTATTTTTTTGTAATTGTTTTTGTGACTTGCATAATATTTTGTCTAGAAGTAACTTTAAATATGAAAAAGTAATTTATTAAACCAACTATCTTTTCAAGGGTTACTGCTGGATATAAAATCAGGTATTTGGAAGGCCCTGGAAATGCGATTGAGCATCATAATGAATTAAAATGGAAACTTTTTATAAAAGTTAAAAAAGTACTTTACATTTCACATAACAGAAGATTGATTTTCACTTCTGATTCATCTCTACTTTCGCTATTTTATTTTGCACCATGAAAATCACTATAGTAGTTAAGGTCCCAGACAAAACAGGAGGTTAGTTACACTTAGTCAAACACCTGCAGCAGTTGACTCTAAAGCAAATTATTGGAAAGTCTGAATGCCTTTCCATAGGCAGCTACATTTTGGGCCTAGGTCAACCCAGACATATATATATATATATATGTCTGTGTGTGTGTGTATTTTTATATATATATACACACCTGAACATGCAAAATTGCCCTTCTGGAAATTGGTCGGAGTTTCTGTCCCGCAAGGACTTCTTAATGAGCCCTGGGGCTGCCCTCGCGCAGGTGGTGCCACCGGAGCCCAGAGAATTTCTCTGAGCTTGCCAGTCATTTGTTGTGTCACTCTGTAAATGACAGAATGATACTAATTTTTAAAAAGCAATTTAAATTCAGTGGATGCAAACTACTGTTAAATAATTATTATTTATGAATTAATAATCTAAATAACAGCACAGATCTAAATTCATGTTCTCTGCTACGGACTGGCTATGATGAGTTTCATGGCAACTGCTCTGTACAAAGTTCACTTTTTGCCTCACTGTTCTTCATTATCACTAATTATTTGTAGTTCAAAGTCATTCAAAAAACTTCTGGATATTCTTCCTGTTTTTCTCTGCTGCTTTTACAGTACAGCTTSTGAGATGAACCAGCAAGAAAGTCAGTGACACAGACTGGAATATGTTCGGTGATATCGATGATAAATTTTGAGCTTTGTGAAAGAAACAGTTAAGGAGATTTCCAGCTTTCATCTGCAGACCCAAAGGAATTGGCTTATTTTTCTCCAGGCCTTGTAAACACAAATAATAGCCAAAATATATTGCACTTCTTAGAGAGAGGATAAAATCAAAATCATTTCCCATCTCTGTTGAATTCTCAACTCTGCAGCCTCTATCATAGTCCACCCACAGAATTCTTCATGACAAGCAAATTGAAAGATGAACATAAAGGAAAATAGGAGTGACTCTAATCTCTCTTATCTACTTGTAAAACAGAAGTATCTCTTCCAAGGCTACTGGGCCTGTACAACTGAAACTGGAAGACTGCCATGGCTTGTTGTAATAAACAGCAGCAACAACAAAAGCTATTTTAGTCCATTTTGGCCTTTGGGAATATCCTTCCAATATTCCTGCCATTGAATTTTCAACATTTAGTATGATTAACCTTGGCCAGATTTTTCAAAAGGCCTTATTTCCCATTAAGGCACTAAAGTAAGTGGTTAGATATTTTTTTCTTTCAAAAAAATAATGGTGTACTAAGCACCAGATTGTATAGAAAACCTCTTGCTGATACCAGCAGCTGTGGCTGCGAGTGCTTGCTTCAGTCCAGGCCCATTCAGAGCACTAAGAATTTGAACTCTGGGGTCTCAGGGCCTTTTTAGAGGGTCCCAATGTTCTTGTTTGATTGATGTCTGTCACTGTATGAACAGTAGGTGCTTGAACCAAACGCTCTTCATCCATAGGTGGATATATAATATATAATAATTTGGACAGATTGTTGATGGGGATGAGATTTTGGTCAGTTTTAGAGTAGCAGAAAGGATTTAGATAAAAGACAAAGATGTGCCTGTAGCAGAGATGATTTCAACTTGGGGAAGAATCTGTTTAACTAGTTGTTTAACTCTCCTTTTGAGAAAGATATAATCACCGTTACTTAGTTTACTTGAAAACTTTGTAGTATTCAAATGCTCCATGCAGGAAATGTGCCTTCTAAGCAAGCATMCATTTATTGCCTGAAGCTCTTCCCACTTTAAATCTTCCCTTATTTTGTATTATGGATTTATTTCATTTTTGTACTGTGGCAAGATTTGAGCTCTTGCCAGCAATTTTGCATAGAAAAAACACTAAACAGTATGTTTGCAAGGGGAAAATGAACATCTCTGAGCAGCTGAGCATCTTTGAGCAAACTCCTCTTACATTTATTTATTGCAGATACTCTAGCAGAAAGAAAAGGGCAAAATTAGCTGAGAAGTACTGTATCAGACTGATGATATTTGTGTCCTTTAAAATTACTTATTTAGAGTCAAAAATAGGCATCCCATGAAGGAGAGACAGATTTTAGGTTCTTCTTAGTATAAATTCCATAAGGAACTGCAGAAATATTTTGCCTTTTCTGGTGTGTTACTGACTGACACTTACTTGGCAAGACATCCAAGTTCGGTTGACCRTCTTTGTTTCCAAGGTTGCAAATTTCTTTCCAGTGACTTGTTAACTCCCGTTTCTAACCGTTTTCAGCTGTGGAACTGCTCCCTGCAGGGCCTTGTCCTCTTCTGCCACCTAAATGAAACCTGTGCGAGATACGAAGCTTCTTGACAGCAGCCATAGCTGCT